CGCTCTACTCTAATATTACAATAATTATTGGACTAACAAAATAGAGCAAATAAATTCCTATATTTATATGCTAGAGAACTCCTTTTAAGGCAAGGAGTTTAAATCACATAAGTTCATGTAGGATTAGAACTCATCACTGGTTGAATACTTCAATACATTCTCAATTAAATAATGAAACAATCTTCTATTTAAAAATAAATACTCTTGAATCTTATCCAAAGAGTCCATCTACTTCATGTCAAAGTCTTGCAAAACAAAAACTTATCCAATTAAGACTTGGAATACAAGTCACACAACAATCTGAGATTAAAACTGTACTGTAACATGGTTGCCATTAATATCGCCCACTTTTTAGGCTTAGGATGGTGTTAAATTCAGTGTGATTATTTGGATCTCTAATTTGTGTTATACCGATCAAGCTGAAATGTTCGAATGATAGAAATTAGGAAGATCTATTTTGAGGGGACAATCGAAAATTTGATTCAAACTTTAAAAATGGGATTTCAAAATTTAGAGACAATACTAAATACAAACATAATGAAGAAAGAGAGAACACCACTGTCTCACAAATTCTTGAAGCTTGGGGGAAAGAGAATAGATAACAGAGCCCAAGCCCCAAAACTTGATTCATTACCATACTTTAGGATACCATCATAGTTCATCATCGTGAGCAGAAAACAAATAAAATAAACCCCAAGGAGTAATTCAAATGGTAACAAAGACGAATAGTAAAATTAGAAACCTTGAGTTTGAATTTTGGCAATCTTTTGGGGCAGGTCATGAGAAATTTATCCTCCATGAATACCCTAGTTGTAATATAGATGGTTTGTCTTTGACCGGACCATAAAAGAGATTAGTTGAGGTGCGCGTAAATTGGCCTAGGCACTCCTGACTGTTGAACTTAAAAAAAAAAGGAAAGTGAGAATGTTGGGCGGTCAGGGGTGTTCGAATCAATTTACGCGCACCTCAACTAATATCTTCTTTGATCCAATCAAAAATAAATCATTCACACCGGAACTAGGATATTAATGCGAAATAATTTTCTTATGGCCTGACCCCAAGGAATTATAAAAATTCAAACTCAAGACATCTAGATTTATAACTTAATCGTGTTACCACTTGAGCTACGTTTAGGATTAATGTCATACTTTCAGTTCCATTTTCGTATTATGGTTTAATTACCATAGCTTCTAATGAAATTTGTTTAAATAATAATAACAATAGGATTACTTTCAAGAACAAATAATAGTACTATCCATCCCTATGATTTGGTAGTCTATTACACATTCTCTCATTTCCAAGTCACCAATAGGAGGGCGCTTAGAACTTTTGATGATATAACTAATTTTATTCTTTTTTTTTTTGAACTAGAAACAATTTATATTCTAAAAATATAAATATTTTGCACTTTCATATCTATCTATTTATATCTATATTACTAATAAAAAGAAGCTAAGTGAAAAATTTTTGATTGACTATTATATCCCGATGAGGAGGTGGATCGATTGCTCGGGGCGGGTCAATCAGGGAGGTCCAATTTTTCAAATGGTTGTCCAATACAATTTGTGCCAAGAAGAAAAGCGAGAAGTGGCAAGTCTATGTGAACTTCACGTATCTCAACAAGGCATGCCCCAAGGTTGACTATCCACTCTCAAAGGTCGACTAGCTTGTCGATGTGATCGCCAAACACAAACGTATGACCTTCATGGATGCCCGAACAGGTTATCACCAAATCCCTTTACACGAAGCCAATCAGGAGAAAACGAAATTTATCACACACCTCAAGGGATTTATTTTTCAAATTAATGACATTCGGTTTGAAATAGGCTGGCATTACATGTCAGTGCTTAATGAACAGGATATTTAAATAGCAACTTGGCACTACCATGGAAGTCTACATCGACGACATGTTGGTAAAGAGTGCACACAAAGCCGACCACCTCAGGGACCTTGGGACAACCTTCGCCGAGAGTATTAAAAAGGTTAAAACCAAATATATCCTTATGTATTTAATTATTAAATATTCAAATGATCCTTCATATACTTCTACTACCATACAAATTATTGTTCTTTATAGTGTATATTTACTTATTTCACAATTTGATGACTCTCTCTCTCTCTATCTTTCTCGTAAATTCTTTTCACCAATCATTTAGTTTGCAATACAACCATTATTTAATTCTATTTTTGTAGTCACTTCATTGCCACCTAATTTCATATTAATTCATTGATACACTTGTACATGATTGTTCAAATAATGGTATATAAAAAATCACTTTTTACTTTCAAATAATTGGACTTTTAATCCTTCCTCCAACACATACCGTAAAAGCTTCTTGTTTATTTCATTTACTTTTTGGCATTTCAAATTTTAACTTAATATTGATTAGCCGATTTGAACTTTTTTATTTCATACACATTCTCTCTTCTTTTGTAACAATCAAAACACAAAAGTTAGAAAACTCTTATAGTTGTTAAATTCTACAATTATGTGAATTATTTTCTACTTTTCTTTTTCCACCAACCAATTGATCTTACTTTTTGAGCTTGTTTTTTTTATTATGCGTATGAATGTGTATGTGTCCCTTTATTTTATGATTCTAATTAAGGTTTGTTCATTTTGATAATGAAGAAAACTCAACATTTAAAAGTGATGGATAGTGGATAACCTTTGAAGATGAGGACTTGACATGACATATGGCCAAAATTTGCATACTTGCTCACTATTTTGTGTTGATTTTGACTAGATAAATGTTGAAAGAATTTGACAAGTTTAGTGGATTTGATCAATGTAGATATAGACTCTCAAGCATATGTGATCAAGCACAAAATACAGAGAAATAATTTATCAAAACACAATAATATTGCTATCTACTAAGATGTACAAATCCTCTATACTAAGACAACATAAATTTTATATAATTATCTATTATTTTGTTTAATATAACATAACTATTAGACATGTTAGAAGATAAATTTATTTGGTTTGTTGTTAATCTTAGCCTTGCTCACTCGTCATCTCCTCAAGATACAGAGACTATAATAGTGAAGTGAAAAAAAATCTAAGCAAACTAGGAGGATGAAATAGCTTGTAGAGTCTTAAAAATCTCTTAATTTCGGTTAAAAACTCACTTTCTTTCTTAGATGATAAGAAATAAAGTAAATTGAAACAAAATATTTATTTTTTTCTTGAAAGTTTGAGGGTATCAAGCTAACTTTGATAAAAGATTAGGACTTGTTTCTCTTAGAAAAAAAAAAAACTATAATTTGCCACGTGTACACCACCTAATTATTTAACAGAAAATTTCCTTGAAATTGTCGATTGAAATTATTTCAAAATGTTAATCATAGATTCATAATGAAAGATAGAGAATATCACTCATTATCTGACGAATTCTTGAAGCTTAGGGGAAAAAAATAGATAACACAGTCCACACCCCAAAATTCATTAGCATGGTTTGGCTATGGTACCGTTGGTCATATCGTACGAAAAATTATAAATTTTTAAACTTAAGTTATAATTTTTTTGAGATATAAATTATAATTTTAAAGAGCATGATGCATCATGAAAGGTTGAAATCGATATGAGATTTTCATGATTGATCATCCATTTTTGTGTTCCATCATATCCTCTTTTTTTTTTTAAGTAATTATAATTTCTTATTTAAAAATTATAACTTTATTAGGATACTTTAGGAGACCATCCCTCCCTGCAACTGCATTAATTCTTCAACTTCTGACAAAAAAGTGAGGCCATTATCACAGTTTAACACCATCAGCATGTGAGCCCAAAACAAAACAAATAATGGGTCTTGGGCTTGTTTTCATGTTGTTGGCTAGTCCTTTTCAGGCTTGACAAGTGGACTTGGCCCAAGATCTGCAATAGAGTATCATGATCATGGTCCATGTGCCACTCAGTTTTGGGCTCAGTTTACATAGTGAATAAGACAAACAGACACAGGCACTTTTCACTTTTAGTTAGAAGGGATAATTACTTTTCATCTCCCTATGGTTTGAAAGATTTGTACTTTTACATCTCTAACATTTCATATTATACTCATAAGCCTCTTGTAATTTTGAACCAAGGTGAAATTGTTAGATTTATCATTCAAAATAACGGAAGTGTGCTTCATTCACCCAAAACTTGTTATGGGCTTTCTTTCCCATGGTTTCCATCCAAAAGTGACATTTCTTTTCAAATAGTTTATATTCTCATACGGGTTTAATAATGGTGGTAATTTCTTTCTCATGGCTATAAGCCAAAGTGACCATCTAGAAAAAGACATGATATTGATGGAACCATTGTTTTTGAGTTCTACTTTGATACATGTTCTTTTGCAATCCGTTGAGATCCTATCCCACTTTTGCACCAAAAGTTCTCCATTTGCAAGTCTCACTATGAACAAGAACAAGAACAAGGCAGCTTTCAACATTACTGCCTTTGTAATGACAATTACATTGAACTGTCAATAGTGCATTTGTGGCAATGCAATTGAAGGCGAGTGCTTTGTGTCCAAATAAGTTGTAAAATGCATTCAATCTTGAGAGCCCGAGTGTGGGAGGTCATGCCCTGGATAGGGCTTCAGACGGTTGTTAGAGTTGATGGTAGAATGGATGGAAATGGCTATTAAAATTGGGGTGGGGTTACGAAACCCTTAGGGTGTACTTTGCGCGGTGCCACCTAAAGGGAATTAGAGAAAAAGAAAATTTTCGAGAATATTCTTTATCTATATCTATCACACAACCCAAAAACACAAATTGGGGAAGAAGAAGAAGAGGTAAATTGTCATTTAATGCTACGGTGTTGGGTTTTTCACTTTTTCAAAATCATAAGGGAGTTATGAGTATAATATAAACATTAGCGTGGCAAAGTGCAAATCTTTTCAAATCACATGAAGGCTAAAAAAATTAATTAAAATTACGCCGAAAAAGGAATATTCCAAAATGCCCCCCAACATTCTCAAGTTTACAAACTCACTCCTGAGTAGGGTTTTTTCCCTAGGGTTTATCCATCTTCCACCGTAGAAACTCTCCTACACAATGACCCTCGATTTCAGTTCTAGGGTTTTGTACTCTCATGATTCAGCATTCTAGGGTTTACGATTCGTTCGGAGACAGAGAAAGGGAGAAGTTTCTTTCAGAGGAGCTGTGAAATGGAAGCTAGAGTCGGGGTGTCCGGGAATCGAGGTGTGGTGGACGGTGGTGCGAGGAAGTTCTTGCACCGCCACCACCCCCAGGAACAGGAACAGGAACAGCAACAGCCTGTGCATCAACAGTCGCAGATGGGGACTGTGCATCAGCTTCTTGCCGGCGGTATTGCTGGAGCTTTTAGCAAGACCTGTACGGCACCTCTAGCTCGGCTCACCATTCTCTTTCAGGTTAATTTTCCATTTTTACTCTTTCTCTTCTGGCTGTCGTTAAAATCGATGAGAAAATGGTTGCACAAATACACGTAGTGAGGTAGACGTAGATGTATTCTTCTTTCTGACATGTTTCTTTGCAACTTTTGTTGCGTTTTCATTCTAGGCATTTCTTCAATGAACTTTCTTGATATTCATGTATAAAAGGAAATTAAAAACCCACAAAATTGGAATTGGAGCTGAGACCGGTGAGCCTTCTTATTGTTTAATCATTAGAGAAAGAAATTGGTTGGAGGTCTTGAGGTTGGAAAGGGCTTTGATATTCGCTTTGGTTATGGGTGATTTTCCTGGCGCTCCATAAACAGGTAACGGAGCTCCATTCTCCATTTCCAAATAAGAATACTGTCAAAATTTTATCTTGTTGGAGTGCCTGAACCTGTTTCTGGAATACCGCTTGTCAGCCTTTATCAGATGGTAGGTCGAACTTCCAAGTTTATCATGCATATTACCTTATGCAGATATGAGCAATGGGCTTTAAATATTTTGATTTTGTTTTAATATGCTGGTTACTGTCTTTCGGGTGTATGTAGATGAAGGAACGAGAATGTGTCTATTCTTCAGTATGGCTGCCCCTCCTGCCCATTTAAAGTTTGGAGACTAATGCATAGATATGACATTTCCTTTTTTCCTCTTTTACTGAATTAAGAGGTGCCTGCTCCTCGACTTGTTGCTATTATTCCAATATATAAGGACCCAGAATATTTGAAATTTCACCGGCACCCTTAATTGTTGGGTTCTAGTCATGGTTCAAAGTATCGGCCGAGTCCGAGTCAACTTGGCCGAGTCATATCCGTCTCGGCAGTTGCCGATCCGATAACGATACACGGTACATTAATATAACGAGATTCAACTGAATCGGTATTGACTCGGTTACAACTCGGTGGTATCGGCCCAACTCGGAACTAAATCGGTTAGACTCGGTCGAGTTGAACCAAGTCAGACCGCTATGGTGCATTTGGAAAATCCGGGCAGCAAAACCCAAAATAAAAAACAGAGCAAGGAAGAAGAAATTGGGTGAGACTCACAGTGAGCCGACTCCAACTCAGCACAACTTGGCTGATTCACATATAATAGACCACAAATATTGAGGAAATTCTAAAAAAAAAAAAAAAAGGAAGAGATGAAGTATAAAAAAACCCAGAAAATCGAAGAATCACCATGATCAGAAGGCCTCTTCTTCTTCTTCTTTCGGTGGAGACCCATAGCAGAAATCCTAAGTTTACAGATCAAAAAATTTTCAATCGTTCCTTACTGTTCGCTTCTTTCGGTGGAGACCCATAGCAGAAACTTTCCTTTGCTTTTCTCTCTCTCTCTCTCTCGTGATCGAGAGGCAAGGAGAAGACAACACAAACCACACACAGTGTTTATATTTTATGGGCCACTCACCCTTCGTTTGCTTTTTGTCCTTAGACATGTGTTTATATTTTATTGACCCTTACCTCTTATATATCAAAAATCTCTAATTCAATTAGTAAATTATTGGAAAAAATAATTATGAGAAAAAATAAAATTAAATTAGAACAATGACTCATTAATTTGTTAATTGAACACAAAATTATTCATGTAAAATATTGAGATCCACTCATACTTGTCAAATTTATAATTTATGGATACATATTTGCTGTTTTTATTTTTATTTTTATTTTTTTTAAAATTAGATACTAGTCAGTTAAAAAAATTATAATAACATATGTTTAAAGTTTAGTGTGTTTTTAAATAAAAACATTCAACCTAAATGATGGCAAATATTTTCGGTAGCGTCCTTATAATTCATTTTTATTATGTTTAATATGTTAAATAATGTATTTTTGGGATATAATGCATGAATGATGATATTTACATATTTTTAAAATTTTTCATGATTTTTTTATATTTTTTTGGGTCTTCAATGTAGCGTTTTGAGCGTATCGGCCGATACGGCGCTGCGACACCGCGACCGATGTGTTTCAGTGCCCTCCGAGTCGATGACCGATACCGCGACTTTGAACCATAGTTCTAGTTGTTTCAAAATTTGTCGTTTTATTGGTGACTTTGATGCTGATATTGTTGAATAAGGGTTGAAATTATAGTCGATGCTTACCATTATCCTTTACCTGAATATAAATTTTGTAAACTCCAAGCATTGATTTTTATCCCCTTTGTAGTAATCTCTATCTGGCTTTGGGATATGCGGTATTGCAGCTCCAACTTACATTGTGTTACACTTAGATTTCAATGTTTTGTGGTTTTCTAGGTACAAGGAATGCACTCCAATGTTGCAGTGATGAGCACACCTAGCATATGGCGCGAGGCTTTGCGCATTGCTAATGAAGAAGGTTTAAGGGCATTTTGGAAAGGAAATCTTGTTACGATTATTCATCGTCTTCCTTATACTTCAGTCAACTTCTATGCCTATGAACGCTACAAAACTGTGGGTACAAAATTGCTTGTGAATTACACCTTTACATGGTTAAAGTGTGGCAATATATCATCCTTTCAACTTTCTTCTCACCACTTGTCGTTTTCTGCAGTGGTTAAAATCAATTCTACGCCCGGAGGATCACAGGAGAAGTACAAGTGCAGATATTTGCGTGCATTTTATAGGTGGTGGTTTGGCAGGAACAACAGCTGCTTCTGCCATGTATCCATTGGATCTTGTCCGGACACGCCTTGCAGCACAGGTTTAATACACATAGTCTTATGAGTTTCTACATTCACACACACCCACCCCCACATGTACGTATTTATGGAACTTATGTGGAAGCTTTACAGAATTATTGCGAAGCTACGAGCTTTCCTCATGAGTGATTAGGATAATAGGATAGCAAGAATGTGTTCCCACATTCTTTGAAATGTATCACTAGCACCCTCACGAAAAAGGGTTATTTTTGGTCCATTTGGAGAGGACAGACTCATATCAGGAGTTTACAGCTGCCAACCTTATCTACATTTATGGAAGATGTATTTGTGACATCCAAAAATACACACATGTAGGTATATGTACATATTGGTGATGAAGAAATGACTGTGCAACATGTAAGTTGTAGAAAGAGTGATTAAAATCATATGGTATTATGTTCTCATCATAAGGGATGTTTCTGGTGAGGTTCATCCTAAGGCAAGTAAGGCGTCTTTGAATTGTAGGCACACAAACATTTTTCACAAATCTTTATTTGAGTCTTTCATCACCAAGTTATTACTACAGGTGTATCATGCTTGCTAGAGATTTCTTCCTGCTATATTGTTGTTTGTGTTCTTTTATTTTGTGGCGTCTTTCGTAAATTATCTTGTTTTAACATGAATATATCATGGAGGTTTTCCATAGTTTGCTGAATTAGTGTGCTGTTGTGGCTTCTGCCTTTTACTCCTTCTGAGCTATCTGCTTGAGGTTTTGTCTTGACCTGTTAAAGTTCTAAACTTTATAGACAAATGCAATGTACTACCGTGGGATTTGGCATTCACTTCATACCATTTGCAGAGATGAAGGTTTTTTTGGCCTGTATAAAGGACTTGGAGCTACATTGCTGGTATTCTTTTTAATGTGATTCTTACCACTGTTTGTTACTCCGTTGATTTGGCTCCTTTTGCCACTGAGATTCTCTATATGATGCAGGGTGTTGGACCCAGTATAGCAATAAGCTTTTCTGTTTATGAGACCTTAAAAACTTATTGGCATTCTCAGAGGTGAGTACTCTATTGCAGATTTATTAACCAATGTATTCATATGCCAAGTCATGTCTGTTTTCTCTTTATTTGTCTTCTTAGTGTTGTATGTTTGTACTTTGTTAGGCCGGATGATTCCACTTTTGTTGTTGCTTGAGCACTCCATTGCATATTTCTTAACCAATGTATTCATATGCCAAGTCATGTCTGTTTTCTCTTTATTTGTATTCTTAGTGTTTGTATATTTGAACTTTATTAGGCCGGATGATTCCACTGTTGCTGTTGGTCTTGCTTGTGGAAGTCTTTCAGGTATTGCATCATCAACAGGTGAGTTCTGCAAGTTAGTGCCTTAAATGATCAGTTATTTCCTCTTTTTTTTTTTGGGTTTGTCCTTGACTTGCATGTTTTATATGTAATTAGTTTTCCAGTTCAAGTTCAATTCAGCATTCTTTTTTTGCTTTGTTCTGTGTGACACTGCACAAATTATAAGGCTATTATTAGTGTTTTGGGGAGGATATAAAGAGTACAAAATCATAGTTCATGGGAAAAATAGTGGAATAGGACTAAATTTGATGTGCCCTGATGAGGTTTAATATATTTATTGTATTACTCATGCATGTACCATCAGCTCTGACTGATGAGATAACAAAAATAAAGTAAACAAACTGATGAAACCAGTTATAATTCTTAATCCAATAAATTCTTGACCTTGTCCATTATCAGATTATATCAATCTTGTTACCTCTTTTCCTCTTCCCTATTTGTTTGCAGCGACATTTCCTCTGGATCTTGTCAGGCGAAGGATGCAATTGGAAGGGGCAGCTGGGCGAGCCCGTGTCTACAACACTGGCTTACTTGGGACATTTAAGCACATATTCCACATGGAAGGCATGCGCGGCTTTTATAGAGGGATTATGCCAGAATACTACAAGGTTGTTCCGGGTGTAGGAATTGTTTTCATGACATATGAAGCTTTGAAGAAACTTCTATCAAATGAGCCTTTTAATTGAAGTTAACATTGCATCTTGATACTGCCTTTACAGTAAGTTTTGTACCTCGTCTTTTTCCAGAAATAGGTGGAAGAGAGGACCAATTTTGGTTTAGTTAGATAAAAAGGTTGGTAGAAGATTAGTTATTTTATGGGGTACTACTTGCTTAGATATTCAATGGTGGCAAATTTTGTGGTTGCTGTCGCAAACAATATTTTTCTTGATGTACAGACTATTTAATAGTGTGGTGTCACACTTCAAATGTATCCCCTTCCAACATGTTTTAAAATCTTCGATTTTCTTGGGCAATTTTAGTTGTCGCTGATTATGTCATTTCGAAGTTTTGTTGTGTTTTGTTATTGCAGCTGTTATGCTCCCTGCCTGTGCCCAAATTTTGTTACACTGGGTACCCATCCTAAATAAGTAAAAATAAATGCAGGAAAGTCCGTCTTATCGCTGCGAATTGTACAGGTAATCGAAACTATAAATGCAGGAAAGTCCGTCTTATTCGCTGCGAATTGTACAGGTAATCTCAGTTTCGAGGAATACTATTTAGACTTAATCCGAGTTGGGTTCATTTATTTTATCTCGATTCCGTAGCTAATCCTAGTTAGGACAAATTTCATTTATCTTGGACATTGGGAAAGTCATATTTCCAGGTGTATAGCTTTCATTAATTTTATTTTTTATTTTTTCTCCTTGTAGACATTAAAAGTTTAATTAACAAATTAATTTTTATAATTGAGCTCAAATCAATCAGATAAATGAAATTGGGATAAACTTAAATTTCATAAGTCTAAATGATACAATTCTAAATTTAATTAAATAGGTTTGAGTTGGACTTAAATTTCACAACCCAAATAATACAAGCCCAAACATAATTAACCATCTTGTTAAATTAAAAATGGATTTAAATTCTATGAGCCCAAATTAAACAAACTTTTAAAGGTAAAATGTATTGGACTTAAATTTCATAAACTAAAGCTCACAAATTTATGGGTAGCTCATTACCTAAAACTCATATAAAGATAATTAGATAAAAGTACACTTATATAGATAATTATAACTCTTATATGGATAACTACTCCTAACACTATAAGTAGAGATTTAAGAGAGGGGCAAAAAAAGGGAGAAAAGAGAGAAGAAGCCAAGGAGAAAAGAAGATTGGCGAAGTTCTGCTCGAAGTTCACTATGCCTTGCAAGTTCGTCTTCGGGAAGAAGAACACACCGTCAATGTCCTTTTTCAAGAAATTCAAGTCATTCAAAACAAAGACCGGTGAGGAGATTCATCAAAAGCATAATCAAATTGAAGAACGAGAGATACATTGATTTAGCACTTGTATTCATCAAATCCACCAAAGTCACCACCAATTGAAGAGCGAGAAATACGTTAATCAGGCCCTCATCTTCGCCAAATTCACCAAATTCATCATCTTCATCAAATTCACCGATAATCAGAGGACAATGCACGTGAGAAGCACATCGAAGAGAGTTAGCACTACATCTTTTACTTAAAGTCAATGAAATTGACTATTGTAACTTGACCTTATTTTGTGTTAATTTATTAGTGAAATTTGTCGTTACAAGTTTTGGCATGCCCAGTGGGACACTCTCTTCCTCTCATCTCTCAAGTTAAAAATCTAACAAGCCTGACAACAATGACAACCAAAGACATGGTGATTCCTCCCACCGACAAGTCAGCGGACCTGGTCAAGGAGTCAATACGAACAACCCAGAACAAAAGGCGGGCAAATCTCAACTGTTGCCACTGATGGAGCATCAATCTATGCAAAGCAAAATGAAGATTCTTCCAACCAAAAAGAGACAACTTGCCCTTTCTTCTATCGATTTGGAGGAAGAAAAGGACGATTATTTACCCGACACACACTCCAACACAGGCTCGAGGAATGAATCTTACTCTGAGATTTCTCCTAATAAGAAGTGGGGTGATTATTCCTCGACCTGCGATACGCCTATGCCTGTGATGGTGACGGAAGCTACTTCATCCAAAGAACATTTTCAACAACTCACTACTACGATCGAGAGATTGATCAAGGCACTTGAAGGTAATGAAATGCAAATCACCGCACTCATGAATTCACTTGAATTGCAAGAACCTTCAAAAGGAAGCAGTCACGAAACTCCAAGTCCATCTGGTACTAAAATACTAGAAAATCTTAAGTTTTTTAGAACAATAACAAAAACAAGAGCAATATGATCGAGCTGTGGCACAAAATTCCATGCAAGATTCTTCATAAATGGTTGTTGTCGCACTCTTTGTCCAACAACTTTAACATATGATTGTTGATACCATTCGAGCCTAGTATGGAGGAGCTCCCCAGTCTTCGTTGGTATATGCGAAGCCATCTACTAGACGAATTGACGAGATACAAATGCCAATAGGCTACCAATCCTCAAAGTTTCAACAGTTTGATGAGAAAGGCAACCCAAAACAGCATGTTGCCCATTTCATTGAAACATGTAATAATGTTGATACCTATGGCGACTTGATGGTGAAATAATTTGTTCATTCCCTCAGAGGGGCTGTGTTTGACTGGTACACTGATCTAACAGTTGGGACTATCGACAACTGAGATCACCATGAACGGGAATTCCTTAATCGATTCTATAGCAACCGACAGACGGTAAGTCTTCTTGAACTTGCAGGAACAAAGCAAAGAAAAGACGAACCTATCATTGATTACATTGAACGTTGGAGGAATCTTGTTCTCAATTTCAAGGAACGCATTAGTGAAACCTCTTCAATTGATATGTGTGTCCAAGGGATGTATTGGGGACTACTCTATAGTCTCCAGGGAAACATGCCCCATACGTTCAAAGAACTTACAACACGAGCCCATGACTTGGAGATTCAAATTTCTAGCACGAAAGTTACTTTCTCAGTGACCCTCGTGAAAAGAAAGATGTAAAGAAAGACGAGAAGAAAGATATGAAAGCCTCCAAATCAAAAGAGTATTTGGAAATCTTTACTACATCGGTGAAGATTTTTAATAAAAAGTCAAAGACATACTTTCAAGTCAAATTTAATTAAGATCAGACTCAAAAGAAGACAAGACCAAGTTTGAAAGAACTTGAAGAGAAGAAATATTCCTTCACTGATGGTGAAGTGTCAAGATATTTTTGATCAGTTACTCGAGTTAAAACTTATCGAGCTTCCAACACCCAAACGACCAGAAGAATTGGGAATGGTTGATAATCCAAAGTATTGTAAATATCATCGGATTATTTGCCATCCCCTTGAACGATGTTTTATCTTGAAGGAAGAGATTCTTTGTTTATTGAACGAGAAAAAAATTAAGCTCAATTCTAGCGAAGAAATGACAGTTACAAATGTGACAATAGTTACTTTTGGGTCCTTCGACCCTAGACCAATTCCAAACAAAAAAGCACAATCATCACCTCCGATACATCCTAAAGAACCATCACAACTGTTGAATTCTTCTATCTCTACAGAAGAAACACTGTCAATTAAAAGTAAGGAACTTACCATCCCTCTTCTTGAAGGAACTGTGCAAGTACAGTTCATTGTTGATGATGAGATAACAACGGTGTATGCGTACTTAGGTATGCCGAGGCATAAAAACTCCAACATCCCAATGCTTTATGAACTCATGATAGATGATCTAGATATTTGGGCATCATCATTTGAATCAGAAGACGAAATCAGGGATGATTGGTCAACCTTTGTCAGCAAAAGGATAAATACCGAACCTCGATTACTAACACAAAGTCATCTAATCTAATAGGCGACTAAGAGCTCATGTTGGGAACACCTATTTATGATTTCAAACCAAGCGGGTGACCTTCTTTGGATGACTCTGTGGCTACTGAAGAAGATTTGGGAGAGTGGACTATGGTAAAACCTCGTAGAGTCCGTAAGCTACAATATTCATCTCCTCCAAATAATAAGCCAAAACACCCCAAAACAAAGAGGGGATCTCATTCACGCCGAAATCGAAGACGTGGAGGAAAAAAAGAGTATCTTCCCAGCCGATAGACATTGATGATGAAGACTATAAGTTATGTTTTCGCATACCTGTAACATTGATGAAATTTTTTTTTCAAGTAATTCTTTACAAGGGAATCAATGACGTCTTATGTGATTACTGCTTGTGAAGAAAAATGCATAACTGATGCTCTATTGAATAAAGATTCAGATACCAAAAATGCTTAGAAAGAGGTATCGACAAACGAAGAAGAAATGATTGCAAGGTTCAGAGAAATTTCATCAAACCTAAGTCTTCCCAAGGCACTTGAATTACTCGAAGAAACCTGAAAAGTGTTGGTACAAGCTTTGGCCAACACAGAAAAATTTAAAAAGAAGATCTTAACTGTTACTGATCAAGTTAGTCAATCTAATTGCATGACAATAATCTCATTCACTGATGAAGATTTGCAGTTAGGATCTATTCTCCACAATAGACCCCTTTACGTGATCGGGATTATTCGAGATTATAAAATATCTTGTATCTTGATCGATGTAGATCGGCTGTCAATATCACGAAAGCAACTTAGAATCTCTATGGACGAGTTGTCAAAAAATAAATTGACAATTCAAGGCTTTAATCCATGGGGGCAACGTGCCATTGGTATGATTCGCCTTAAGATCGAGATCGGAGAATTGGTTTTTTTTGTTATTTTTCATGTCATCGACTCCGAAACATCTTATGAGTTAGTATTGGGGCGACCTTAGTTATATGAGATGAGAGTTGTGTCATCAACACTGCACCAATCCTTTAAATATTATCATGATGGAGAAATGAGGTAAGCCATTGATGAGACCAAACCTTTCTCAACAGAAGAATCTTACTTTGCAGATGCCAAATTTACTCTTAAGGTGAGCTTATCACGAAGGCACTTCCTAGTATCATACCAAAGATCAAACTATCAAGAGAAAAAAACAAAAACAATTGTCAATAGATGACATCAAGCACTTGAAGAATGAACTGACTTACCTGTAACTCATTTATCAAAACTGACTATCTCCGACCTATCACCGAAGGGGTTCACAAAACCTTCTGTTGTAGAAGAAGGAAAAGATTGTAAAGAAGGTTGGTTTGATTCTTGTGTTAAAAAACTCTTTGAAAATGCTGGTTATGATAAGGTGAACACGCCAACTTGGAAAACTCGATCTATCCTTTCAAGGAGAAAGTTGATGAGTCGATGATAGCACAAAGGGTCGCTAAAGGAAAGACCTTTGCACAACATAAATTCGGGATAGAATATTGTCCCACTCCAATCCCGATTAAGCTAAAGAAGGCTTCATCAAATCCTATCATGA